CTCCTGAATACAAGCTATCCAAGACGGCGCGAAGCCAAGCTATTCCGTGCCAAACCGATGCGATATTCGTGTTCAATGGTCACATTACCTCCAGACAGCTATTTCTGGCGAATCAAAGTCCTGGTCGGGACTTCCAAACCGGGCAGTAAAGGGTGTGAATGAAGTCGAAAGAAGTTCGCGGCTGTTATCAGTGGGGCTGGGTGAGGGGGTTCATAAAACTATATTTAGAGACAGATCCCGCGATTGGCAGTCTTTGGTAGAAGAGTTGGAAGTGTGGGTGGACAGTGACTTGACAGTAAAGGAACAGGCAAAAGATGCGGCAAAAATTGCAAAGCAAGGTCTCTCTGACTGGACGAGTTTTCCGAGAGGGCGTGGTAATACAAGACGAAACGGAACAGTGCACGGTAGAGTCGCTTGGCACCCACGATTTACCTTCGCCCCAACTTCTGTCCAGTTTAGAAACCCATTTCGTAAGTTATTAAAGCGATGCACATTGGGGAGGGGGACGGGAAACAAATGGTACACAGTGAAGTTACAGGCCACCTTGGGAAGTACTGCGCACTTCTGTAACTGTATTGGCTCCCCTTGCACATTTCAGAGCTTCGCAGGAGTTTACAGGTTGGTTTACGTGCACTAGGAGAAGGAACCAGCGATCGTACAAAATGCCCCCTAAGTCGAACAGCGTCATCAAAGCTTGTTTAATGTTGCCATCGAGATCACGTTTAGGCACGTCCGCAACGTGACGTAGTCGCAGGACCATCCAACTTGTGAAAACATGTAATCACCCGTGAATAGACATTATTCCTCTTTCTATGACAACTGTACTAGTTCTTTTTTTGTTTTCACTACTGTTGACATAACCGGAAATGGACATGTACCCCCGTCCTTTCACGTGCCATTCACGGGTTGCACTTATATGACGCCATTTTTGAAAGTAAGTACACTCTAAGACCAGGGTTATACAAATAGAAATGCTTATCGGTGTTATCTAGAAGAAAAGTACTCGTCGCTAGACGTCACACTGCAAAGCACGACCGATCTCGCCACCACCTCAGACGCTTTATCTACGAGATATGGGGTGCAATAATTGTTCTAGAAGTTTGCAAGACCGCAGTACGTGAAAAAGCACATGAAAAGAAAAAAGTGCTGGTCACAAGAGCACCAACATCTTTGCAGGTGAGTGAGCAGCATCGCTATGCACATGAACGTCCCGGCGCAGTTCGGCTTAGTGGGGGCAGAATGACGAGGGCAAGCCACCTTGTGAAGACCTGTAAATGCCTGCAATTGAAATGCCTCACTTGTACCATTTTGAGATTTCTAAGAGTATACAGGAGTCGACCTGTTCGTTAACATGTACTAGCAAGAGGAACTAGCGAGCGTGCAAATTGCCCCTCCACGTCGAATAGGCGTCAAAACGATCCTGTATTTTTAACTTTGCTGGTCATCCAAACCTTTCTCTCATTTCGGGACACACTGACCAAAACCACCAAGTGAACGCATCATTCACTCAAAAGCTCATGAAAACGCCTTGCACAAACTGCCGGGCACGAGGAAAATCGCTAACCTGATGTGTGAATGGTCAAAAGCGCAGAGAAACGCGCCCATACTGGTTAGCCGAAATGGTAGTGATACCTCCCACTAGACACGTCCTGTCGTTGGGATAATTTGCCCAGAATACCGACCCCTCCTCAAAAGCATATGCCTCCTGTATGACCCTCCTCCTCACTCACCATTTTCCTAACTAGCATCTCTAAATTTGTCCTATTTTTCTACCACTTTATCGGAATTTATTTCGAAAATTCGGGCACGCAGAGGAGATAGAGTGGCGCACGTTTGATAGGTGGCGTCTTGTTTAGAGCACGGTTCCCGCCGTTGCGAACGATTTTAGCAATTTCGACCCCTTCTCCACTATCCTTCGAAAATTAGAGCGGCCCCCCTTCCAAGCCCCATTCTTATGGGCTTTGTCATTCCTTGAATCTTTCCTTTACTCTCCTACGATTTCCGGATTTATTTTTGCAGGACATTTCTTCACTTTTTTCCTCAGAAAGCTTACCGCATAGCGCTGAGCAGTAAACCTATTTGGGGGGGGGGGGGGGTGGGGGGGGGGGAAACCGGAAAACTCGAAAAAGTCAGCAATTGAAGACCTTCTTGCGCCAAGCAAGAGCGAGCGACCTGCCTCCCTTCAGCGAGCAAGTAGAACCCCCCTCCTCGCTAGGGATCCCCAACGTACGCCGTGCCCCTGTGGTGAGCGTTACTTCCTCAGCGCTGCAGCGCACGCACTACACGAGTGACTTGGGAGTTTGCGTAGATGCCCAGACGGCAACCAGGTTTGAGGGGTGTATTCTGGTGCGCGATGCCGGGGCCGTACACCTTTGCAAGGCCTATTCTCTCGCGACATCAAGTTTGACTGGCTTGCCTACCGCCTCACACCCTTGTCCAAGACACATATACAGGGGGGGCCAAAAAAAGTCATTCCGGCCGAGTCACATATGAGCGAAGTTTTCGCAGCCCAGACAGAGGAAGTGGATATGAGTACCAGGGCGGAAGATACCCAAGATCTTCCTCTATAAGCAGGAGCCGGCTGCCGCCATTCACCTTCATGTACACCAAAATATGAAGTCATCTCCAGTCGCGGCCTGAGTGGAGAACGCCTTTGGAATTCACGTGGCCTCCAAACAGCTGCGGAACTTCTTGAATGGAATCACCCATGGATAGCTACCTGGAGACCAGTACTCTTGATCTGCAAGACCTCAAACATCGAGCAGCTCCGGCAACGTCGCTACGGTCCAGGACATCATCTTCACCCCATTCACCAAGGCGCGGGTATTATCATCGTTGTTGATGTGTGGACGGCACGACCTGGAATGGATGAACCGATATTTTCTTCGTGGCTCCCAGATGAGGGTGTGCGCTGTTCCTGGCCTTACAACCGAGCAAACTCGAAGGAGAATATCAATCTTTCATTGTCGTCGCCCGTACTCTCTTGAAACTTTTGTACTGCCTACGATTGCGGACAACACATTTATCGAGGCGCCGGAAAAACTTTCGCGCTTACTCTTGGAATGGAGTAGGAACGCTGAGCTACCTGGAAGAAGATGGAGTATATTAAGCGGGTCCTGAACTAACCCCTCAATTACTCTGTCAACAGACAGGGTGTCTAGCAGTGGCGAGAATCAACGAATCTACGCTCTCAACTGCGGTACCCACTCACTTTCGCGCGGCCGAATCTCTCGATGGCGCTCCTCCAGAAGGCTGTGGCGGAGTCATTATAGTATTTAATGTGCTCTTTAATATGGTAGTAAAAATGTCCGATAAAAATTTAATAAAGTGTAACTTATAGCGCTTGAGCCATGGAGCAAAAGCCTTTTTTTTGGCCCCCCCCCTGTACATATCGGTCTGGATACGCGACGTTTTCGGCATGAATATGCGACGTTTTCGGCTCACCGAAGTTTTAGGTCAAAAAATGTTGAGAGGGGGTATTTTTGCACTTTTTTCCATTTGCTAGTTCCTGTCAGTTTACGCGTCTCACCTTGGTAGGACTTGTAGACTTCTGTCAAGCGGAACAAATCTCATGCTATTGCATAGCATTACCAGGAATAATACGTCTCCAGAGGAGGCATTGTCACTGATCGATGAGAACCAGCAAAATGCCCCCACCAAGTCGAACGGCGCCAAATGTTATTAACATTTGCAAACAATCTTAACAAAAAAACTTTATTAAAACTAGACAGCAGAAGTGTACAGTAGCAGAAAATTACAGTATACAACATAGCGAAGGCCACTGAATCAAGGTTTCCTGATGGTCGCTTTACTTAGCTCACAAATGAGGTCCCAAATAGGTTGGCCACGCTTCGAGCATGCCATCCCGTAATACGGATCGAGGGTGGTTTTTGACGGCCGAGGAGTTGTCTCGTAGGTAGCCAACGTAGCGCCGCCACCTACTGGCGTCCATACTGGAGGCAGCACTGTCGGCCACTGCGGTTCATTTGTCCCTTCCTCGGGATTTATGGTTCGTTTCGATTCTGTGTGTGTCGATTCTGTGGAGGTAACAGGCTCAGGGGATTCTGTAACTTCATCAGTTACGGGACCAAATGTTTCTGGTGAAGAATCAGGTGACACAATGATATATTCCTCAGTAGTGGCCATTATAGGAATATCGCTGGACGTGGTACCCTCCCAAGTGGGCGAGACTTCAGGTAGTTCTGTGGAGGGTGTGGAGATTACAGAAGGCACTGGAGTGGGGAAGCTTTCTTCATTTGTTGGTACTGCTGTAAGTTCAGGCGGATGAGAGTCAGGAGTTATCGTCACTACGAACTCTGTAGGTTCTGTCACAGCTGTTCCAACCTGCGTCACAGTCATGGGTGATGCGTCTGGGGAAACTGGCAATGGTTGAGTGGGTTCGGGAATTCCTGGAGAGGTATCTGTTACGGCAATTGTCTCCTTCGAGACCTCTTCTGTAGTGCTTTCAACTATTCCCATGCTTGTGGCAGTTGGCTCAGTCTCCGAAGTTTCTATGAAAGTTGAAGAGCTGGGTTCCTCCGTGATGGCTGTCGACGTTCCCACTTGTGACCCTGGCGGAAATACTGGAGGACGGGTAGGGAGTCCTTCGCTTCCCCCACCAGCAGTCGACGGTGTTGTTCTACGAATTGCCGTTGTCGGGGTTTCAGGTGTGTTGGCGGGTGGATCGGTGAAGGTACCTGGTCCCTCAGTTTCAGTGCTTGTTGTGGGCCCTGAAAACAGCGATTCACATAGCGATCCACATGATTTACTCAGTCAAAGGTTTTCACCCACCTATCGTTGTCCACTGACCAACTGATCCTCGATGAGGTCCATGGTATACCGAAGGTGATAGATATGTGGTGTCAAAGTTGATGCAGTCTCGACGTGGTCCACCTGAGAGACATAATTTATAACACAAACATCTCTCAAACAAGCCTAAAAGCGTCAACTCGACAAAATTCTCACAATTTTCGACTTTGTCACTTTTTGAAGACCCCTCGCTACTTACAAGGTGGGATATCTCTCTCATCTATGGTTCGCTGCTCCTCTACCCTTAGAGTGTACCACTTTCTCCACCTGGAACTATGTAGCATGGGCGCCAGAGTCTGCGGATGGCCCGACATCCCCACCCACACCAGGTGTAAATAGCCATAAATACGCAACTAAGGCAGAGGTGGAGTAGTGGTAAGTGGCAAAATCACCAGTGCCCGGCGGCTGATCCCGGATCGGCTCCGGCCCTTGCCACTACGATTTTTGAATGGAAGTAGAACGCGTGCTGCATCTCAAAAGGCACTGATCTCCGGAAGAAGCTTTATCTTTAAAGGCACGGTCCGCGATAAAAAGCCTAGGTGGTTTGTGGAAGAAAATTCGCCAAGTGAACCATCTATGAAGAGAAAATGCCAAAGGGAACGTTGGAAACGCATTCGTCAGGCCTCCTCTAGCCTCAAACAACTGTAGAGGTAAATGACCGAAAGGGATGTACCACTGAAGCAATTTTGAGCCTTAATCCCTCTACCGTACAACTTTCCGGCGCGAAACTGGCG